CGGCGCGCTGCCGATCCTCCCCAGACCACCTTCGCACCTCGCCTCCCCAGACCACCTCGAGCAGTGTTAGGTCGGGCGTGTCCGCCTACAGAAGGAGAATCTTCGAGAGTAGTCAAACAATAATCTGAGGACGATGTTTTGTTACTGTGTTTGGCATGTTTGTTGACTATCTTGAAATTTTCTTCCGAAATCCGCCTGTAGGAGGACATGCCCGACTAAAAAAATAGTGGAAGAATCACGACGGGAAACGGTAAGCCTCCGGGAGGGCCGTGAGGGCCCGGGGGACCGCAGCGAAGACGACTCGCGATGAGAAACTGGCCCGATGGAGTCGAGACCTCCAGGGGTCCACGCTGAAAGAATCGTGACGGCAGGGGGTCTGGGCCGAGTGCGTTCTGACCAGGATGTGTCGAAGCGAATCCAGCCGTGGCAGCAAGGGACCGGCAGCGGCATCTGCGTATCTTTGCCTCCTCCTCCTCCTCCTCCTCCTCGTCTTCCTCCTTGTCCTCCTCCTCCTCCTCCTCCTCCTCCTCCTCTGGAGCACCGATTCTCGAACACGAGGCTGGTGGCCTCCACGGCGATCAGCAGCGCGCACCACCAAGAGTGGCCGCTGCGCCACCGCAGCCGCCGGAGCGTGAGCCGCTCGAGCAGCACGAGGGCCAGGAGGCACGAGTGCGCGGTGAAGAGCACGAGGGGGGGCCTCCGAGGACGATGCAGCTTAAAACAAACAACCAGCTAGAAACTGGAATCAAACAATCAAGCAATCCTCGCGGCCATACCTGGTCGTGCTGTCGTCGGAATAGCACGTATATGTCAGAGTGGACGAAGCGACTGGTCACGGAGCGTTCCCAAAAAAGGCCCTGCCTTCGAGGATCGAAACAGTTGCCATTGCCATCTCTTCCGCAGCGGAGGGCGGCAGAAGAGCGGCGGAAGGACGGCGGAAGCAAAACGAGGCCGCCTCCGCCGGCGGAAGGCGGCGGAAGGGTGGCGGAAGGCGGCGGAAGTAAAACATGCGTCCCCAAGAAAAATGACGACGTGTCTGGGTCCATGGTTTCCAAAATCCGCCATCTGAGCATAAGCTTTTGGAGCCCCGTGCGGACATCTCCGGGATCGGCGCTGGTGGAGCCGCCAGGAGGGCCCAGCGCAGATGCGAACAGAAATCCGCGCGGAGCTCCGAAAGCTTATGTTTAGGGTTAAGTCGGGCGTGTCGCCCTACAGGGGGATTTTTGACCAAAAATTTCAAATAGTTCGAAAATACTTCAAACATACTCAAACAAAGACATAGAAAAATCGTCCCCTACTATTTCTTACTATTTTGGAATATTCCTCCTGTAATTAGTGGAACAGGCCCGACTTACGTAACCAGAACCGACGCCGACCAAGAAACGAAGGGCCTCGTCTGGCCGCGGCTAGCCACGGCCACGAGCAGCTCCCACCACCTATCACTCGACAGGACGGCCCGAAAAAACAGAGCTCCCTCGGAGCCCAAGGTGGTCCTCGCTGTCTGCTTGACCGCACGCATTTCATTTCCCAATGGCGTTTCGCGAGTGAGATCCTATCGTGTTTATATATCTATACAAACAAAACACGAAACAGTCCCACAAGGAGGGCGGGGAGCTCGAGACCGCCTCCCTAGATCGCTCGGTCTGGCGGCCGCGTGGGATCCCCCGCATGTGTTCAGAAATCGCGCTCTCGCCGAAATGTCAGCTGCATGTTTGGTCTGGACGGCCACGATCGCGTGTGAAATGCAGAGCATGCACTGCGGTGCACATGGCCGTGCCAGTCCTGGGAATACTTGGGCTATGTCTAGGAACGCACGTCTTCACAAGCCGAACGCCTGCTGCTATTCGGGTGCTTTTTTGAGCGTTTTCTTATTCGGCGTCTCGACATTGGGCGGAAGGGGGGGGCGGGGGCAGGGGGGTCTGGCTCCGGACCTCTGCTTAGTGCGAATGTTTGGAACCGTGCGTCCATTAATGGGGGAGGGACTCCGCCCGCTCGAGACAGGCGCCCCAGAAACAGCCAAGAGCCACTCCATGCGGGGGGAGGAGGGGGGGGCGCGAGGGCCCGCGCCGATCGGCACAACAAGGGATAGGAAAACGACGACTATTCGGGTGCGTTGTTGGGGAGAGGTTTGCCCTCGAGGCCTGCGCGACGGGCAGAAGAGGCAGAGCGCCACGGCGGCCAACGACAGCACCACGTGCGCGGGGCCGTCGAGCGGGCTCGCCAGCCGCAGGCGGTGCCTCCGCGCCAGCTGCGGGCAGTGGAGGCGGGGAGGGACGGTGCCCAGACAAAAAAAATGTTCACGCCGACGGCGTGAACACAATCAGGCATGATGGCAGCGACCATTGCAATACACATGTGGCTCGCCTCCATTCACCCCCAAACCCAAAGTTGAAGCGTCCATATTTTGACCCCCGCGCGCTGCCTCGCACCCAACCCATTCAACTTTGGGTTGGGGGGGCGGGGGCTATGGATATTTGTTCAACGCAGTTCGATGTCGTATCATACAAGCGCGATGGGTGTGGACATTTTATGTCTACCCACAGGAGGCGTGAGGAACGAGGAAGGGGGATTAACGAAGAGGGAGAAAGAGGAGCAGAGCACCGAACGAACCTCGTCAGAGCCAGCTAGCCAAACTGTGACAGGCTCGGAGGAAGACCCTTCAAAGGGGCTGTAGAGCTCGTGGCGGGGGTAGCTCTCGGGGCTACGCCGAAGCTAGCAACCCCCTGCGCCAAAGGCTGCCGAAGGAATGCATTCACCCAGGACGGGGCCCAGCAAGGACTTGGGGACGAGGAGGAGGAGGGGGGAGTAAGGCCAAAGGGGGCACAAGACAAGACTTGGCTGGCCCAGTGATGCAATAGAAACTGCATGGGCAGTGGCCGAGGAGGACCCCTCGCAGAGTCGGCCTTTGATCAGGCCTCCCTCCACTTGCCCATCCCTCGCCGTCCTACGACGAAGACCAATTATCTTTAGGTCGGGCCTGCCCCCCTACAGCCCTACAGGCGGATTTGGAATGAAAAATTACAGATATTCAAAAACTAGAACCACGCGCGCGCTTCGCGCGCGCTCAGGTTCTATCCGCGCCCAAGGAACTCGCATCGCGAGTTGCCCATGAGCATGAATAGGCGATTCTGGAGCTTCTTTGGGGGCGGTAATGGGACCTGCGGCAATTCAATTTGGGGATCCTGGCGACGTGTAGGGGAGTCGTGAGGGCGTCTTCTACGCATCTTGCGCTTCTCTCGATTCACCCTTGGACCGGAGGAGGAACTGAGCAAAGAAGAGGAGTGCCCGAGTCTGGCACCGTAGTACACGCCACCAGGGCCGAGCCAGGGTGCATCGAAGGCCGCCGAGCCCTCCTCGCCACACATCTGGGGCCAAACCGCTACGCAACGGAGGCCAGGACCCCCCTCCAGGTCGCACCAGCAGGGCATGAAGTTCGATGACTTTGGCTCTTCGAGGGTATTATGAAAGAGCTTACTGGCCACTGCCAGTCGTCTTTGGGCCGTCTTGGAGCCTCTCGGAAACATGCTGGATATGCGGTATCCGGGGTATTTCAAGCCGTTTGGGAGCCGTCTTGGGGGCCTCCTGGCCCATCTGGGAAATCTCTTCGTGCCGTACTGGGACCGTCTTGATACCATCTTGGGCCATTTTGTACAACCAACGGATCACATGCTTATGTCGGTTGGTCCATCGCGTGGCTCCGGCCTCTTACCTGAAGCCTGGTAGCTGTTGTAGCAGCCACGCAGCCTTGAACTGCCACCAATAATTCGATGGCAGCTGCTGCTCCTGCGCTGCGTCCATCAGCACATGTTCAGATGCGACGTTGCGAAACCACTAAAATATCTCCTCCAAGATTTGTTTGCCTCTGTAGTAGAATCTGGTTCGCCCCTCACGCGAAGCGTGCCCCGGAAGGAGCTCCACCTGTGGAGCCCATGGGCAACTTCGCATGACGTCCCCCCACCCATTTCGGCACATGCCTCACACGGGTGGTGCCCCACAAGAAGCTGCACCTGCTGCGTCACGTCAGTGGGCGTGTTCCCGCGTTTGCATCCAAATGATTCGGCACACCCTTCACGCGGACAGTGACCGCAACAAGGACTTCAGCGCGCCTGCGCACGCCCCCTATCCGCATTGCCCCGCGGCGCGCAGTATATGAAGAGAGGGCCGCGCCCTGCGCTACGCGTGACTGCAGAAGGTATGTGGCCGAACGTTGAGGCCAGACCTGCCAAGCTATCGGACCATGTGTTCCCCGAATCGGTTTGGAGAGCCTTCGGGGAACACGTGGGCATCTTGAAAGACATCTTGGCCGTCTGGAGGCCATTTTGATCCTGTCGGGCCTTCTTGGAGGACGACGTCTTGGAGTGCTCTTGGGCCGTCTTGGAGGCCATCTTGAGCGTCTTGGAGGCCTGTTGGGCCGTCTTGAGGGCCTCTTGGGGCCGTCTTGGGCCTCTTGGGCGATCTTTGGGTGCACTTGGGCCGTCTCGGGCCGTCGGAAGGCAGAAAAAACGCAAATGCCACAATCCTTCAACAACTCATGGCAAATCAATGATTTTGACCATTTCGGCACTTCCTGGAGGCCCTCTTGGAAGCCTCTTGGGCCGTCTTGGGCCATCTTGGGGCCGTCTTCGGTAATTTCGGTGGGCTCCTGGCCCGTCCGACGCCGTCGGAAGCCGTTTGGGGGGCCCCTCTGGGCCGACTTGGGGTGCTCTTGGAATGCTCCAGGGCCGTCTTAGAGGCCATCTTGGGCGTCTGAAAAACCTCCTGGGCCGTCTTGGGGGCCTCTTGGGGTCGTCTTGGGCCGTTCTGGGGCCATCTTGGAGGCCTCTTTGGCGATCTTTGGGCGATCTTTGGGGGCTCTTGGGCCGTACTGGGCCTTCGGATGGCCGGAACGAAGCAAATGTCAAAATCCTTCAAGAACCAAAGGGGACATCAATGTTCTTGGCCTTGTCTGGCCTTCCTGGAGGCCCTGATGGACGCCTCGTGGGCCGTCTTGGGCCAGCTTCGAGCCAACTTCGGCCATCTTGGTGGGCTCCTGGCCCGTCTGACGCCGTCGGAAGCCGTTTGGGGGGCGTCTCTGGGCCGACTTGGGGCCCTCTTGGAATGCTCCAGAGCCGTCTTAGAGTCGTCTTTGTACCCTCTTGGGGCCGTCTTGGGGACCTCCAGGGAAGTCCTGAGGTCATCTTGGAGGCCTCTTGGGCGCTGTGGGGCGATCTTGGGGGCCTCTTGGGCCGTCTTGGGTCGTCGGAAAGCCGACAAGGAGCAAATACGACAATTCTTCAAAAACCTAAGGACAAATTAATGATGTTGGCCCCTTCGGGCCCTCCTGGAGGACCTTTTGGAGGCCTCTTGGGCCGTCTTGGAGGCCTCTTGGGCACCTCTTGGGCCGTCTTGGGCCGTCTTGGAGGTTTCTCGGGCGGACTTGGAGGCATCTCCTCCTCTCTTGGGCGGACTTGGAGGCCATCTTGGCCCATCTTGGAGGCCATCTTGGGCCAACGTGGCCATCTTGGAGGCCATCTTCAGCCGTCTTGGAGGAACAATTGGGAAAATTGAGCTCCTGGAAGATCCTCCCGGGACCCCGGCGGGACGCGCCAGAGCCCCAGGGGGAGTTCTTTCGAGCAAAAAAAAAAACAAAACCGAGAGGATTCAGCACGCCAGGCACCCCAGCGATGAATCGACAGGGGGCGGCGGATCTAAGACGCCTACGGCGAATCACCGCCGCCCCCTGCCTTTTTGGAAGCGCCTAGGTGGCCGAACGTTGAGGCCAGACCTGCCAAGCTATCGGACCATGTGTTCCCCGAATCGGTTTGGAGAGCCTTCGGGGATCCCGTGGACATCTTGAAAGTCATCTTGGCCGCCTGGAGGCCATTTTGACCCTTTCGGGCCTTCTTGGAGGACGTCTTGGAGGGCTCTTGGGCCGTCTTGGTCTTGGGCCGTCTTGGGGGCCTCTGGAATCCGTCGTGGGCCTCTTGGGCGATCTTTGGGTGCACTTGGGCCGTCTCGGGCCGTCTCGGGTGCACTTGGGCCGTCTTGGGCTATCTTGGGGCCATCTTCGGTCGTTCTGGTGGGCTCCGGGCCCGTCCGACGCCGTCGAAGCCGTTTGGGGGGCCCCTCTGGGCCGACTTGGGGTCCTCTTGGAATGCTCCAGGGCAGTCTTGTAGGCCATCTTGGGCGCCTTAATAGCCTCCTGGGCCGTCTTGGGGGCCTCTTGGGCCGTTCTGGGGCCATCTTGGAGGCCTCTTGGGCGATCTTTGAGCGATCTTTGGGGGCTCTTGGGCCGTATTGGCCGAAAAGAAGCAAATGTCGAAAACCTTCAAAAACCAATGGAAAAAACAATGTATTTGGCCTTCCTGGAGGCCCTCTTGGAGGCCTCTTGAGCCGTCTTGGGCCAGCTTCGAGCCAACTTCGGCCATCTTGGTGGGCTCCTGGCCCGTCTGACGCCGTCGGAAGCCGTTTGGGGTGCCTCTCTGGGCCGACTTGGGGCTCTCTTGGGGTGCTCCAGGGCCGTCCATCTTGGGCGTCTTGGAAGCCTCTTGGGTCGTCTTTGTGCCCTTTTGGGGCCGTCTTGGGGGCCTCTTTGGCAGTCCTGAGGCCATCTTGGAGGTCTCCTGCGCGCTGTGGGGGCGATCTTGGGGGCCTCTTGGGCCGTCTTGGGTCGTCGGGAAGCCGACAAGGAGCAAATACGACAATTCTTCAAAAACCTATGGAAAATTAATGATTTTGGCCTCTTCGGGCCCTCCTGGAGATCGGAGGCCTCTTGGGCCGTCTTGGAGGCCTCTTGGGCACCTCTTGGGCCGTCTTGGGCCGTCTTGGAGGTTTCTTAAGCGGATTTGGAGGCATCTCCTCCTCTCTTGGGCGGACTTGGAAGCCATCTTTGGAGGCCATCTTGGGCCATCTTGGCCGTCTTGGAGGCTATCTTGGCCGTCTTGGAAGCCTGTTGGGGCCCTCTTGGGGCCGTCTTGGGGGCCTCCTGGGCCGTCATGGGGCCATCTTGGAGACCTCGTGGGCGATCTTGGGGCGTTCTTGGGGGCCTCTTTGACCACCTTGAGCTGTCGGAATGCCGAGAAGAATCAAATCCCAAAATCTTCAAAAAACACCAAAAGAAATCAATGATTTTGGCCTCTTCGGGCCTTCCTGGAGGACCTCTTGGAGGCCTTTTGGGCCGTGTTGAAGACCTCTTGGGCCGTCTTGGGCCATGTTGAGGCCATCCTGAGGCTATCTGAGGCCGTCTTGGGTACATCTTGGGCCGTCTTGGAGGCATCTTGGGGCCATCTTAGCCGTCTTGGAAGCCATCCTGGGCCGTCTTGGAGACGTCTTGGAGACCATCCTGGGCCATCTTGGCCGTCTTGGACGCCATCCTGGGCCAACTGGAGGAAACAGAGGCACGACGGGCGCGTTTTGAGATCCTTTCTGGGTGGCCGGCGGGACGGGCCGAAGCCCAAGGGGGAGATCTTTCGGAAAAAGAGCCAAAACCAAAAGCCACATTGTCCGGCACGCCAGGCACCCCTTTTGATAAATCAAAAGGGGGCGGCGGACTACGGGCCTTCGGCTCATACTGCCACCGTGCCTGGGTTGTGGGTCTGAGGCTTCTGGGATAGCTGTTTGGGGTCTATTGGCATGCTTCTCGGGCGCCTATGGGAGCCACTTGTGAAGCCTCTAAAGGGCATCTTAAGAGCTTTTTAGGGCCTCTTGGGGCCTCTGGGGGCCTGCTGGCGGTCTGGGGGGTCGACTTGGGGCGGGGGGCTCGGAGTGTGAGGTGGAGTTCTCCCCCTTTGGCCCATCTCAGGCCGTCAAGGGCGCCTCTTGGACCGTCTAGGGGCTCTCTTGGGCCGTCTTGGGGCTCTCTTGGGGGCCTCTTGGACCGTCTTGGGGCGATCTTGGGGGCCTCTTGGGCCGTCTTGGACGCTGTTATACGCTGTTAAGACCAAAGAAGCGAGTATGCTGAAAATGTTCCATTTCCGAAAGGAATGCGGCAATTTTGGGCATCTGGGGCGCTCCTGGGGAACATTTTTGAACCTGCTTGGGGCGAATTGGGGGCCTCCTGGGGGCTCCTCGGCTATCTTGAAGCCATCTTGGGCGCTATTGCGCCGCTCTTGTCGCTGAGTCGTGCTCCCTGGAACTCTTTTGGTCGGCCCGGGGGGGGGCCGGGAGGCCCCGGGGGGGGTGCTCAAAAGGGGGGGGAAATCCGGGAGGGTGTCCCGGCCCTGGGCCCGGGCCCTCGGTACTCCGGCATATAATATATGTCAAAAACTGTCAAGAGTACTCGAAAAGTCGTCCCCAGACTATTTCTTTCAATTTTTGGACTAGTCCTCCTGTAGAGGGACATGCCCTGCTTACGGGTAAGAGTGAGGGGGCGCCTGGGCTGCCTTGCCGGGCCCGCAGGAGCTCGAGCGCCAAGCATGGGACAGGCCAGACCGCCGCACGGCGCCCCGCTGCTCCCCCGAAGCAAGCAGGCCACCGCAGGCGCCGATCTTGATGCCACGGCGCGGGTCGTGAGGCGGGGGCGCGCCACGCGTAGATGAGCGAGCCACGGATTTGGCGCGCGGTCGCCAGATCCATGGACCGGGGGGGGTACCCTCCCCGAAGTGCGGCCGGTGCCGCCTCGCTCGGCGGCGGAACTGCGCGATGTCCCATGGAAGCGGGGCCCGTCGCTGGTCCGCGCCCCCTCTGATCCATGCTTGCGATCGCCTGAGTGAGGCGGGGCGCTTGCGGGCCGCGAGGCTCGGAAAGCCCACGTGAGAAAGCCTGCCGCAGGCGTCGGCAGTTCTTATGAGCGCTCTCATCCCGTGGGTCGCGGGCTCATGTTGCGGGCGCGGGTCGCGAGGGGATCGCGGATGGACCGCTCATGGGCACCGTGTTGCAAACGGAGCTGTAGTCGCCCGAACGCTCCCCCAAAAAATGAAAATCCCACTGCGGAGAACCGTGCTCACGCCAAGTCTGCGCGCCCAGCGGGGGTGGCACCCGCTCGCGATGGGGGAAATAGTTGACCCGGTGGGAACGAACTAAACAGGAGGGCGTGGCCGCCATGCATATCGCATTACACATCGCCCGTGCACTGGGCTCACCGAGCCATCGTTCACCAGAGCGGCGCAACCGACGCAACCGCGTCATACACGACGCGTTTTTAACGCAAGTCCTGCCGGCCATGGACGCAACCCAAAAATAAGTGCCCAATAACCCTTCAAGCAGGAGAGAAATGAAAGATGACAGCAAAAGATCATCCCAGAATAACCAAATCAACCCGGCAACATGGGACACTTCGTTCTATCATTCAACAGATGCTCCCACCGCTTCTGCGCCCCTCCACAGCAGCCCGTTCCACTGCATGCGTCTACACTGCCCTCATTCCAGCAGCTCCCGTGGCAAGTGCTTCTGGACGCGAAGCGTCAAGAATTAGCCCTGTGCCCGCGAGCGCCTCCACACCAGCCTCGCCAGCTCGACCAGCACCAGCACCGGCCCGCATACCAGAAAGGCAAGAAACATCAGGAGCTCCTCGAACACAAAAGTGAAAGAGATGGCAGGACGTCTGCGGTCTCGTGTTCCTGCTTCTGTTACCCTATTCGCCTCCTCTTCCCTTTACTCCTCCGCCTCCTCTTGCTCCTCTCGCTCTTCCCGCCGAGCCTCCTCTATTTGTCCTTGCCCCTCCCTCGCTCCCTTCTTGCTTCTTTCCTTCTCCCTCCTGGCTCTTCCATCGATCGTCCCTTCCCTTCCTTCTTCCCTCTTGCCTCCTCCCTCCCCGCCACTCCCTCCCCTCGCTCATTCACTCGCTCCTCTTCGTCGTTCCCGAGGACAACGTCCACGCCCCCTCCTTCTCCTGCTCCTCAATGACGGCGACGCCCCCCCCGCCGCCCCACGTTCTGGCGGCGCGCAGAGGGAGGGAGGGGAGGGGGGGGGACGCATCTTGGGCGCTGGCCTAACATCTGTAGATAGTGACCGTGCATCCTGAGGAGCCGGGGTGCTTCTAAGAAGCCTTCCCCCCCTCCTCCCTTCCTCCTCCTCCTCCTCC